GGGAAAAAGGAACCCTTCTCCCCTGTTGGTGGGAGTGCAGACTGGTGTGACCACTGTGGAAATCAGTGTGGAGATTCCTCAATACTAGGATTGGACGTTCCATTCAATCCAGTTGTTCCCCTTCTGGGTATTTTCCTAAAATAACTGAAAACATCATGGTATGGCAGTATATGTGCACCTGTGTTTATGGCGGCACAATTTGTAATAGCTAAAACTTGGAAGCAACCCAAATGCCCATCATCACAGAATGGATAAAAGAGATGTGGTATTATTGCACAATGGAATATTATTCAGCTATAAAGGATAATCTTGAGGCAGCTTGAGAACTTGAGACTATACTCATAAGTAAAATAAATCAATCTCACATTTGTAAATATTGTAGTGTAAATATCCCTAGTGTAAAAAAAACCCGAATGAGTAACAAGATCTGAAATGTACAATCAATATTATGTTAATGAAAGGTAAGGAAAGTGCTCAAAAGGAAAGAACAACTGGGATGGGGAAAGGAGAGAAAGAAGAAGGAAAAAGACTTTATATATATATATATATATATATATATATATATATATATGATAGATAGCTATACTATTAATCTCTGTTAGTTCATCCAAAATAAGTTTATGCTTTCATAGTTTGATTGTTTGATCATTTTTATGCCTAAACCTTGTAACCTGAACAACTACTTCTAAGATAACAATATGCAATATATTAATTAGTGTTAATTTCTACCATTGTTTTGAAATTCTCTATCATTACTAGCCTTTCCCCTGTTTTTCCTTATTTTAAATAACACAAAACCAATGGAAGCAAAGATGCCGCTCTGAGCTACAGCTACATCACAGGCTGAGTTTCCTTGGATGCACACAGAGCTGTCTGTCTTAGACAAGAAGACTCAGCTTCGCTGTGGAGGGTACCTGACAGCAGCCAGTTCTTTGGATCAACTCTGGATGGAAATGAGCGTGTGATCATCACAGACCGTGATGGCTGAGTACAGACAAACTGGCTGGCACTGGAGCTGCTGTCTGCAGGTGGGTTTGCAGCAGAGCTACCCTCCCCAGTCACATGGCAAACTGTCTTGAACAGGCCAGGGTGGTTCACTGGAAATAATATCTCGCTTTCTGTACACACCTGCAGAGCACTAGAAAAGATACAGCTCATTTTTACTATTAGATGTTGTATATCAGATGGGGAATATTCAACATTTGATGGCCTCTCTCTTACTCCTTCCTCTGAAATGATCAGAATTCTTTGCTAGACAGACTTGCAGCAGCTGGCAGGTTCTGTTACTATTTTCTATTTTCAATTGTTTAATCTAATTTTATTATTTTTAAATGTCTCTTGTTCAATGTTTTAATTGCACCAAGTTACTGGGTACAGTATGAGAACGCACGTGTTCTGACAAAGAACACACAATGTTTCCATCTAAAACATTTTTAAAAGATTTTAATGTATAACGACTGCACATATTTTGGAGGTACAGTGTGACATTTAACACATAAATAAGGCATATATGGATTAATCCAGAACACATTATTATTTTCTTTGTCTGCACCTCCTTCCTTTGTTAATAATTATCTCTGAAGTAATTTTATGCTTGTGATGCTTATGTAGGTTACGCTGAGGTTTAATATACACTGCTGCACTTCCTCCTACCTTAACTGTGGGTGGATACCGTTAATAAGCATGGATGAGAGGCTGGGTGATTTGTCCAAGTTCATACAACCAAAAGGAGCCTGACTTCAATATTTTTCTTCTCCAAATCTAGTACTTTTTTATTCCATCTCAATGCATTATCTCTTCAGGTGTAAAAGAATAACTTATTTGGCCTTCAAAACTATCGAAAAATGCACTCTGGTATGAAAAATCCTCCTTGGTACCATTTCAATAAAACCTTACCTTAATTATGCAAAATAACTCACTGAGAGCGAAACTTTGCTTGAATGAGCTTAGAAAGCGCTGCGCAGTGGTCTCAGTGGGAGGTTTTAGTGGGAAGATATTCATGTTCAGCAGTCTCCAAGCCTGAGCTACAATTTTTCTCTCACTAAATGGATTCTAAGAGTTCGCTGGTTGCTCTGCGTGGCCCCCGTGTGGCCCCCTCCTCACCAGTAAATAGAATTGTGGAGACCAAATCTAATCATCTCACTGTGCTGCCAAGTCCTCTACCTGCAAATCTTAACAGAGCTGTCCTTGGTGTGACCCTTCATTGGACTCACAGTTTAGTAGAGCATGCTCCTGGGTGTGTCTGCATGTGTCATGGTCGTGTGACCTTGGGGCTTTCTGTGGTCCCCAGTCCCTTCTTCTCTGGCACTGTTTCCCGGCCACGATGAACTGAGACAGTTTGTTCCACCGTGCCCTTCCCCGTGATGTTTCTACCTTAGAACCAGCTATCCTGGACAGAAGCTGTGAGCCAATTCAACCTTTCTTGCTCCACACTGTGGGTGCTGGGTGTTGTGTCCATTGCGGGGAAAGCTGGCTAATTCTTGGCCTCTTTCTCTAGGTTAATTTCCTCCATGATTGCAGAACTTCGAACCTTTCCTTAATAGAACCCCCCTAAGCTGGTAGGCATATATGTATCGCTATTTTCACTTACATTTCATCAGGACCCCCTCTAGTCCAGGGGGGCAAGGAAGGACCCTGATTTTACTTACTTTTGGCATCTCAGCCACTGTCGCTCTATCTGGCCCTTAGTAAATGCTTCATACAAATATTACAGGCTTATAAATAATGACTGACTGAGGAGTTCATGCATAAATTATTTCTGAGCAAGTCTTAATTTTTCCCAGTGGTACTTCAAGTTAATCATTTGTTTTTGTTTGTTTTATTCTGAGCCTCTTCAGAGGTTGTTACGGTGTTGAGGGTCTGCCCTTAGAAGGAAGAAATGTAGATCCATGGAACCCCGTCTCTGCAAGAGTTGTCTCCATCTTTCCTGAGTGCTCATCACCAGATGCCATCTGAAATGAAGTTCTCCCAAGAGCCCAGATGAGAGGCAAGTGCCATACCTTCAAACCTTCACAGCTGTTGGCTAAGCAACCACTTTTCTGTATAAATTTGTAGCCTCAGTTGTTTAACTGTAGTAACAGAAAAATGACTGATCAGTGCTTTCCAGATGGTGGAGGTGGGGTATACGGAAGGTTTCTGCTGCTCTCAGCTCAGCTTGGTTTGATGGCTGAGCTCTAGGCCAAGGAGACTGGAAGAGCCATGCTCCTCACTGCTACCTTAGCACCATCCATCCTTCACCCAAGTGGCAGGCAGAAACTACCCCGAGGGAAGCCATTCTCATAGCAATGCAAAGAACAAGAGCTGGACATAAGACTTCAAGGCCTGCCTCAGCACTGGGGCCCTTCCCCTTCCTAGGTCACCAAAGTAAAGGCACGAGGAAACACATTCTCCCCGGGAAGAAGCTGCTAAGGCTGTAGGTGTGGAGGAGGATGAGAACTGAGCTAATTATTCAAGCTCCACAGTGGCTATGTATTCATTTTTCTCTGGCTGCCAGAAAAAAGTACACAAGCTGGATGGCTTAGTACAACTAAGATTTATTCTTGCACAGTCCTGGAAGCTAGAAATCTGCAGTCAAGGCATTGGCCGAGTCATGCTTCTTCCGCCAACTCTTGGGAAAGAACAGTCCCATGCTCCTCAGCGACTGTGGGCCATCTTCGTACTTTTCACAGCACAGCTACATCTCTCCAACCTCTGCTCTCATCTGTGTCTCAGCTTCCTGTCATGGTTGACTTTTTCTCATGGAAGTGTGTGCCTCCAAGTTTCCTTAGAAGGGTACCTACCGATCATCAGATTTAGAGTCACCCTAATCCAATGTGATCTCATCTAAACTTGACTACATCTGCATAGATTCTGTCTGCAATGAGGTCATACTTGCACATGCATGTGTGTGTGTGTATGTTTGTGTGTGTGTGCGCTCAGGGGCACAGGGGTAGAAGTGGGGACCTCTGGTAGGCACTTAAAAAGCAAAGGAAAGGAATTACTGTAAAAGTGCAGGTGCAGAGGTACAGTAGGTTTACTGTAGAATTCACTGAGGAACACTCATAATCCAGGGCCGGCGTAACTCACGGATTCCTGGAGCGGATGAAACACTGTTTTCACGCGTGCAAACCCCCACAGTGATTTTCATCCTCGATGCGTGTGCGAAGGGTGGTGGGCTAATGAGGATGGCGGGAGTGACACTGAGTGGGAAAAAATAAGGAAACATAGGCAGGGTGTTTTGCAGGGTTCTAGACATTTGTGAACATGATTATAACCAAAAGCCATCGTTGACTCAAAGTTCTGTCTTCATCCAATTCTGGGAAGGAATGACCGTGTGCCGAGCTGAGAGAAAAAAGGTGCTGACACCGAATACAGCGTTTCAGGCACGTGACGCAGGAAACCAGTTTAATAGGAACTCACATTTAATGCGCAGCTAAATTTAACAGTCAGAATTCAAATGGGGTTGCATTCTCAAGTTAAAATTGTAGTGTAAAAATCAGAAATGGCCAGTCTTGCATTTGAAAATGTCTTAAATTGCCCATGAAATATGGAAATGAACTGTAATTATGTGATACAACCTTGTAGACTAATTTCCTACTATGCCTAAATTAGAGCACTAGGGGAAAGACCACAAGGAAAGTCTTTATGCAAATGTATGTGTGTTTAAGAAATTCCTCCTTAAAATAATAAAGTCCTAGTTCTGAATAAGGGTAGGGATAGACGGTTGTGTTTTTTTTTTTTTTCTTCTAGATACTAATGTCTTAATAAGCTGTTTGGTTTCATGAGGATTAAATGAGGAAATTAAAATTCTCCATCTTAGAGTGGAGGTAGGTCTCTAAATATATGGGTCTATTGCACAATAGATTTAACCTACTAGATGAGTTAAGTGCACATTTAGTGGTTAAGATGCGCCAGGAACTCTTCCAGTGCTTTAGGAACATTCAGGCACTCTGGCGCTGGAGACTGTGAGCTTACCCACCATACTCTCCTGCTTTTCTGAATTTCACCCATTTATTTCCTCCAGATGCTCTATGGAGAGCAGCAGACCAAAGCCAGAACGTGGAGCAGGACGCAGTGCTTGCAACGGTAGCCTACGATGTGCCTGTGTGCTTCTGCTCCTGTAGAAAAGACCCCAGTCTTCTCTCTGAAGGAGGTGTGTGTTGTCTTGTTCTCTCAGGGCAGGAGAAAAACAAAACAAATAAACAAAACCAAAAATAATTGTGTATCATGTTGCTGAAAAAGGAAAGGATGGAGTTGAGCTTCTGTGATTAGAGTTGAGGAAAGTCTGCCTGTCAGTGGCCAGAAAGTGAAAGTCTGAGAGTGCTCACAGTCAGGGTAGGCAAAGGCTCTGACGTGGCTGCAAATAGATCACTGTCCTCGTCAACCTGAAGGTGTGATCTAGGGCTCAATTCTAAGGTCTGCGGATGCAAAGGAGTAAGAGATAAGTGGGACATGGAAGATGATTTAGTTTGCACTTGGAGAGAAAGATCGAAGAGTCCCGAGATGTCCCAGATGAGGTGAGCCCAGCGGCTGCACAGCTGGTCCCCTCTGCAAGCCTCCCCCAGCTGGTGGTGAGTGTCAGTGGAGACATGGATTGGGGACATGTATTTCTGTGATATTTGTTTCACTCAGGGATCCCAAGAGCTGGAAATATGCATCTTATGGGGTAGTGGATGTTCTGGGCTAATTTTTGCCCCCTTATTTTTAACTGTGTTGCAGTCAGAGATTGCAAAAACAATTTCACATAGGACACAGAGTTGATAGTAGTATTTTATGCTAGTTACCCAGAGTCAGAAACAAGCAGTGCAGAAAATCTGTCCACACTAGAGACCTACAGAATCTGGCCAAGGGCCTGGATCCCACAGCAATGTCCTACATGAGTCCACCTGAAGACCTAAAGCCCGTGACAGTGCCCCCAAAAGTCCATGGAGGCCTAGAACCTACAACAATGCCTTGTGCAAGTATTTTTCATGGATCTGCACTGGACAGGCCCAAAGGTCAGTGATGGAAGCTAGAAAATCTGCGCAGTGTGAAGGACCTGTGCAGTAGATGGAAGGTTCTGGTCTGGAGCCAAGAAGCAACACTCAAAGTAAGGACCAGGGCTGTCCTGAAAAGTACCACAGCCATCCTCAGGAACACTGAGGTCCCAATCTCCTCTGACGGTGAGAACAGCCAAGTACATATCAAGAAGCCAGCATGACAAGCTCCTCCTGGAGATTGAACAGCACACATCTTCTCCTCCGGAGCCAGGAAGTGATGCTCAATGTTAGGACCAGAGGTCCCCGAAAGAGAACTGCAGCCACTCTCAGTGACAAGGTCCCGAGCTCCTCCAATAACAGCCAAGTTCATGTCAGGGAAGCCAGCATGACAAGCTCCTCCAGGAGAACCAACAGCACCAAATAACACCACTTAGGAGAACCCACAATGCTAAACTGTGCTCTTCCTCTCCAGGTCTCCTTTTTATGCTGACAACAGTCCTTAGGTAGGCCCTCTACACTCAGCACCATGCTGATTCAGTTCAGCTGGTGTTTAAATTGACCACCAGTTTTCAATCCACCACAAACTGTGAACAAAGTAGTCTCTATTAGGTGCTGTAGATGATGCCAGTGTGTATTCTTTAAGGTCATGTCAGTATTCTCATACAAACCTTTCACCATTTCTTGGGGTCCTTTATCGCATTTCCTGGCCAAATGCTGGAAGCAACCTCACAGATTGTCCAAGTCCTGGCTCCTAATTGGTTCTGCCTTCTGTGTACTGCATTAGTGATGCTATCTTTTGAGACACAGTGACAAAATAAAAGTTCCCTGGATCTTGGGAATGTAGAATTGTGTGTAAAATGTGCCTCTCACTATAGTATACGGTAGCAGAAAATATTAAAACAAAATAAGTAATATCCCTGGTCATGGTTTTCTCATCTATAACTTTGCTTTTTGTAATTATGCTTTCAAATAATAATTGTTTTCATTCACTTAAAGCCACAAAACTTTAAGAATATCACCTCTTGTGGAAGTTCAAAATATATCCATTCCAGATGTCTCATCTGGATGGACAATAATCCATCCTTTGCAGAGTCCTTTTGAGGAAGATCACATGTATATGATGCATATATATGTTTCATATATGTGTATACACAAATATTAACAAAGAAAAGAGTTAGGATCCTGGCTTCATCAACATTTCTCAACTAACACAGTTTCTGCAGCTGAAGTCGTCTGAGAAATGATGACCACCCAGTGGTTCTATCTCCAGGATGTCTGCCAGGGTGGGCTGTGTGTATCTGAGACAGCTTGGGGTTGGACTGTCCACTCCAAGCTAGCCCCATACACCTAGAAGCTGTTGGTAGATGTTGACCCCGCCCAGCATGGACCTCAGCTTGGGACGGCTGGATTGAACTCGAAAAACCCTCCTTCTTTAGAGAGTGATTCCAGAGATGACAAGGGGAAGCCACAATGTCTGCTACCAGAAGCCAGACTCCAAGTCCAGCCCATCCCCACACTGAGACAGGTGGGGCTCCACCTTGCAAGGACATTGTCTTGGAATGGATGTAGTTTGAACTTCCACAAGAGGTGATACACTCAAAGTTTTGTAACTTTAAGTGAATGAAAACAATTATCATTTGAAAGCATAAATAGCATACTGTCCTACTGTACCCTTCAGTCCTCAGCATGGCGCTGGGCATGCCCCAGTCTTCTTAAACAACGAGCTTGATGAATTGCCAATTGAATTTTTTGTCTTGTCTGAGGTGTTGTGGTAAGCATTTTGGGTGGACTATCACATTTAGTCTTCACGATGACCGTGGAAAAATGAGTGCCAGTCTATTATTGCCCTCATTTTATAGATGGAAATGTTTACAGAGGGAAACCTAAGCATGAATAGAGAAGTTAAACTGTTGGATACTCATATATGGAAGGTTTCATATTTTGGGGTTTTTCTGTTTATTTTTGTTTTGTTTTGCAATGCTGTGGGTTGAATCCAGGGCCACTGTGCTAAGCTGCGTCTTCAGCCATATGTGTGTGTGTGTGTTTCAAGACAGTACCTCACTAAGTTGTCCAGCCTGGACTCAGTGTTGTGATCCTCCTGCCCCAGGTCCCCAGGGCAGGGATTACAGGTGGGTACCACACCCCTGGCTCATCATGGAAGGTTTTGATAGGAGCAGGAGCTGCTCTTAATTCTTCTGCCCTAGAAGGCAGTTTTTAGCTATCTTATTGTGGTCTTTCTCCAGTCAAGGCCTCCAGAATTATTCATACGAAATACTTTTGCCTCTGAATAATATTTGAAATGTGAAGTCTTTATTTTTCTTTCTGGTCTAGATTTCCCTAAAAATTCGCAAGCAAAATTTCCCAAGGTTGAAAGACAGGAGCTCCTCATTTACACTCTTCTGTGTCCACCATTCAGTTACAAATAAAACAAAACAAAGCAAACCTAAAGCCCTTCTAGATTCTTGTTTTGGATTTCAGCTTTTTCCTTGAAATTTTGATGTTCAAAGGTCCTATGGCTGCATCAAAGTTAGAAAACCACCAGATTCGACTTTCCCAGGTGTCACTTTGTGCTGATTACAAGAGCCCCGCAGTCTCCCTGCCTGCGCATCAGGACAGAAGTTAGAGACCTCGTCCATCAACTCCATCCCTGCCAGTGGCTCCCTTGGCTTGCCTGTGTGCATCCCTTCACCACTGTCCTCATTCTCGGTCTGATGAGGACTGAGATTGAAGCTCTGGTATGGTCCCTTAACAGGGGCCACATCTCCAGTCCCTCTCACTTCTAAATTATCTTATGTACAATGGCCACATAAATCCCCAAGAGCCTCTTCTGCGGCTCTGCCACTGTGTTGCTAAAATAAACCTTCCATTGGCTGTGTCCCTTTCCCAGGGCCGCAGCAGTGCCGCAGGTCTTAGGCTATAGCATTAGATTTTTTCAAAGAGTGCTCTAAAAGAAGTTGTTTTCTTTACTAATAGAATTTCCTGAGTGCTTTGATGTGCTAATAGGCAATGAGAATCTTTTCAGAGAGGGAGGAAGGCAAAACAGGACCCGGAGGTTTTGTCACCCAGGCTTGTGTGACAAGAACATTTCAGATCATGGAACTCTCTAGGCTGATCCACTTGGGGATGCTTCCTGTTTCCTATCGTTATGGCCTCCCCCCTCCCTGATACCTTTCACCTGGTGATAAGTCTTCTCCTTACAATTCACTTCAACATGTGAAAGCCCAGAACTCATCCCGATAGGCTTGACTCTGTCGCCTTTGAGCTCCAATCTCAAACTCCCCAGATCTTCTGTTTCAGAGTATCAAGATCTCTGCAGAAAGAGACAGAGAGACAGAGAGACACAGAGAGAGAGAGAGATCACTTTCTTTACTGAAAGACTGGTATGATAAAGCCACAAACCAACATAATTTCTTCAGGGTCCAAAACCTGTATCTGTACATATCTGACAAGTGCCAATCAACCCTTGGTTAGATGGGACTCCTTGGAGCACGTCCAGTTGTAAACCTGACTGCTATCCCAGATATTGCCCCTCTGGCTGGGACAGCCTTGTCTTCTAGATTCCCCAGTGAAATTCCATCCATTTTTTTCTGGAAAACTCCAGTGGTTGCACACTGTGTCCTTCCCATACCCATCATGATTCCCCTCATTAAAACATCCCCCAAGTCCAGGCCACTGAGCCCTTAGTTGCATCTGTGGATTTTATTTGATCATCTTTTTATAGCCTAAGTGCTGGAGAGTGGCACAAGGGGAAGGGTCTTGATGCTGCCAGCTTTGAAGCATCTGTAGGGGTCTCCAAGGCAGAGCTCATTAGTTAAAACTGTACTACTGGATTGGTTAGAGCAATAAATAACTTATTTAAAGATATTCTAATGCTTGGGGGAGTCCAATCCTTCTAGATCTTAATGAAAAGTAAATCATTTTCTAAATGCTTTGTAATTTGCATGATAACTTTTTCTTCTTTTGAAGGCAGGGAATTTCATTATTATGCAGAGTAATATTATATTCCTTTGATGCTTTTAGCCTGTATCACCTGAAGAAACAGAAAGAGACCATATCTCTTCTAAATATGGTTTCCTTGGTTTTATAAAGAGAATACTGAAGGCCATTGAAGCAAGCAAACAAACAGTCAGGTGCTAGAAATGGAGACATGGGTGATACGTGTTTCCTATGGTACTCTGGCCTTGTGCATTTACTCATTAATATGTTCATGTGTGAAACATTTTCAGAGCATGCAGTATGTGTCAGAAGCTTGCATGGTGGGGTGTGTGTTAGGATCAATTCCCTGGAAATAGATTCAGAGACTGGAAACTGAGAATTGCATGAGTTTAGTACGCAATATCCTTGGGACATACAACTAAAAGACAGTAAGGCCATAGGATTGGGGAGGTAGAGAAGTGATTGCACCTGAGACTTAATCCAGTCCTACCAGGAGTTCTGGGCTCGGGATGACCCTTTAACACCATCCCAAAGCAGCCAGGATACCAGGCCTCTGTGTGTCCAGTCATCTGGTCATTAGTGGCCCATTCTTTCTGTGTTTTGCAACCTAGGACAAGGCTGAATGAAGGGCACAGCTTTGAGCTGTCGGCAGTTCATTAGTACCCCCCAGCTGGGAGGAGGGAAGAAGTCTGAGGGAGGACACAGCACCCACTCCTGGGATGTAACAGGGACAAGGACTCATCTGACTCATCGATGCCCTGGAAAGCGGACAGTGAGGTTGAGGATTAGGGCAGGCAGAGCAGCTGTGCTGACTGCTAGGCCCTGTGAATTGCCCAGAGGAGATGGCTACAGAGCCTGCATGCCCAGGTCCTGCACCTGAAATCAGTCAGGGATCGTCCCCATCAATCCTCCTGGCATGGGATCATCAAGAGATCAGGCTGAGCCCTGTACCCAACACCAATTTCCTGACATGAGGTCAAATTGTTTCTTCAGGGACAGCATAGAGCTGATGTCACAAAGAAGCCATGAAGGCTGGTGGCCATTAAACTCAGCCACACTGAGTCTTTCCATTGGTCAGTCTTGGGCTGGCAGGAGTCTTCCTCTCGTATTTCAGCCGGCCTGTATTCTCTACTGAGTGCTTCTTTAGCACTTTCTATTTCCTTCTTTTATGCTAAATGAATGTCAAACTTTCATGTTTATCTATTTCTCTGTCCAATTCATTGAACAGGACAACAACAGCCCAGACATCATCGCTGGTCCCTGAGCAGCTGGTGACACTGGTCTAGTCCGGGAGCCACGATAACAAATATGCACGGGCACGGAGCTAAGCGTAAGTGTGGAAGAACTCTGAGCACTGCAAGGCATCCAGCCCGGGTGTAGGTGTCCTGAAACATCTTCTCGGAGGGCTGATGGCAGTCATGGCACAAAAGGGAGTCTGTGGAAAGCGTTAGAGAAAGGACCTTACCTGGACAGGAGGAGCAGCCTGCGTGAGGAGCCGGTAGTCAGGGGAAACTCCCCCTGTCGGGAATGGTTGAATGGGAAGGGCCATGGGAGAAGTAGTCCAGAAGCTAAGAGAGGGCCTGACACCAGCAATGGACCTGCAGGAGCAAGGACGCCAGCCCAGCAGTTGGGGATTTGACCAGGATCATCCTGACAATCACAGTTGCCATCAGGGAGTCACATGATGTAATTTGCACTTCAGGAGGATCATTCTGGCTGCTGCTTGGAGGAAGGATTGGAGGTAAAGAGCAAGGAGGCCTCCTCTGGGGTCCCCATGGGTGCCGGGTCATTAGTTTCAAGTGAGAGATGATGATTAGAACGGAGGCATGTCAGGTGGAACGGATGGACCTGAGCGCTATTAAGGAGGCAGAGTCCATAAGGTGTGACTGATGGGAGATCAGTCCTCAGGGAAAAAGAGGCGTCAACCTCAGATTTGTCTTTGAGCCAAAGCCTGCTGCAGGGGCGGGCGGAAGGGATCTCAGCGTGTCAGGCTAAAGCAAGGGAACCAATGAGAGCCATGATGAACAACATCCCTAGTGCAGGGACCCACTAAGGAGAAAAGGAAAACAGACTAACGGACCAAACTTCTACAGAAAGAAAAATGGCATTATAGGATCCTAGGAAATAAGATACACTATACTCAGACAACTTCAATTACCTTTTATTTCAAGAATGCCAATGAGAAGGGAGGACCTGCATTTACCCACTAAAATATTACAATCTGGGCTCACTGAGATGTCACAGCATGGCAGCACCTTGTCAGTATTTTTGGTTCCTATGTGTGTAGTGCTTTGACCTCACAGATACTATCTTAGAGCCTGATTTCTATCCTTCCCATAACTCTAAAGGTAGAAGTTGCTGCTCTCCAAATATACAGAAGTGGGAGCAGAGGCTTGGAGAAGTCCAGTGACTTTCCTTTCCAAGTGGCAGAGTTCAGTCTAGAACATTCCTTCTGTTCAGGGCTGTGCTTTCTGCCCCAGCACCCACCGTTTACCAGGCCATTAGACCGCACAAAGAGGAAATCATTCGGTGTGAATGCTGAGTGCTTCTGGTCGAAAAGGGCTCTCTCTGCTGCTATGAGATGGCCTATGTGCTTAGAAGTAATAAGTTAGGGGTGGGGTGTGTGTGGTTATGCTCAGAGAGCCCCAGCAACGCCTAGTTCCCCTGTATGAGCTTCAAAAATGTCACCTAAGCATCAGTGCTGCCAGAGAGCACACAGAGCTGTGGGGACCTTCCTGGGCACCCTTCAGCCAGGCATAGACCACAGGAGCTGGGATCCTCTGGATCCTTGTACTGTGTAGCATCTGAGAAGCTGCACTTTGTCTCGCTTCCTGGGCTGTATCTTGTAGCCAAGTGAACTAAACATAGAGCGCTTCCTCCCCTTCATAGAATTCGTGAGGTTATAACCACGCTGAACAGAGCGGGCACCCTGACTAGAGAAGGGGAGGGGAGGAGAGAAGGGAGGCAGCCCCTCCTGAAATTTTCTTTGTCAAGCTCCTTCCTGTGGTGGCCTCAGGCCATACGACAGCTTCCTGTTTTGGCAGGTACTTTTGGGGTCAGGTTTCAATTATAACCAGGATAGTGGTTCCTAATCTGATAATTTAGGGAAGAAGATGAAGTTGAATATGGTTGTGGATTAGCTTGAGTAGCATTTTTTCCCCTATAAACACACATGTATAGGTGCACTGCCCTTCCAGCACATGCATCTGTATGCCTCACAGGCATTGCTGTGGGTCAGATATGCTTTGAATGTATTCCCCAAGAGTTCGTGTGTGTTGGAAGCTTGGTTGTTAGGGTGGCAGTGTTAGGAGAGGGTGTGGAACTATTAAGAGATGTGACCCAGTGGGAGATCCCCAAGTAACTAGGGGAGCTGCGCTAGGAAGAGATTAAGGAAGCTCTCAGGAGACAACATAGCTACTCAGGAGGCTGAGGCAGGAGGGTTGTAACCTGGAAGCCAACCTGGACAACTTAGTAAGACTCTATCTCAAAACAAAACATGCTGGACATGTTGCAGCCTGGGTTCAATCTCCAGTGCTAAAGCAAAACAGAACAAAACAAAACAAAAGTAGACCTCAGGGACTCCTTGGGCTCTTGCCAGAGTGAGTTGTTGAGGAGCAGGCTCAGCCTCGGCCCTGGTTTCCCATTGCACACCTGCTCTCTTTCCCCCACGTGCACTCCCACACTGGGACACTGTCCACTTGTATGTCCTCACTGGGGCCAAACCAATAATGGGTCCTCCACCCTCTGCTTCATCTTGGACATCAGCATTGCGAGCTAATAATAAACTCTTTTATTTACAAAGTCAGCTTGTCTCATATGAGCATTTTAATATAGTACCAAAACCAGACAAATACATGTTGTCAGCGGTGCTTTGTAATCTTTGTTGCCATGGGTGCTTAGTGGCTTTTTTTCTTGCATTCTTCCTCGTTACCTTTTCCTCTACAGAGCTCTTCCATCCTGGACCACCCTACCCACTTCCTGAGTCCTGGGCTGTCTCTGAAATGGCCATAATATTGAGAAGAAACTACAAATTACCGTGATAAATACTGAACACAGGGAAATCACAGAACGCCTCTAATTTTATTGAGAGAAGTAATAATAATAATAATTATATCATTTAAAAATATTTTACACACAGTAACTCAACAATGTGTTGGGATTAAATTACATTACAATACAAGGATTCTGCAACATTTTTCAGTGACAATTTAGCTATTAGTTACGCTTCTTTTTCACTGCCTTCGGTGGCATTGAGTTGAATACTCTGTGCCGGGCTCAGAATGCTAATTTTACACCTTTATCTGCACGCTTTCACATGTAGGGGAAGGACCTCGTCTTACACTGTCATGCGTCATCTTGGGGCCATGACTACTTTGTTCTGTGCTCATTCTACTCATGACAATGTCTTCTCCCCTCCTAGAATCTTCCTGACCACAGAATCTGCCCAAGGTGGCTGTTCTCGGTGACTTTCCCCTCCGCCACGTTCTTGTTTATGTTGTATTTGACAAATGTGTCCACTCTGATGCTGTCTCCTGTGATTGCAGCAAAGAGAAAGTGGGTGATCTGTGATTCTTGGCATGGCCCTGATGAAACCTCTCCTGCTCCTCTCTTTAGACAGAAGCAAACTGTAATAAGAATAGTTCTGAGAACATTCACATTTATTTAATTCAAAATTAGGATGCTATGAACCTTTTTTCTACAAACACATGATACAAGAAATGCGATGTCAGAATTCTATGGGGAAAATCCTAAGGGATCCACAAGAAAAAAGCTGTTAGAAATAATGAATGAGTTTACCTGGTCACAGGTTATCAGATCAATATACAAAAATCAATTGTAATTTTATGTGCTAGCAATGAATAATCTCAAAATGAAATTTAGAAAGCAATTCCAGCCATAATATTTCCAAAAAGAGAACAGAATCATTAGGAATGCATTTAATGCAAGATGCGTAAGACTTGTAACACTGAAAATATCAAAACCAAAGTGACAGGAATAAAAGTCCGTCTAAGTAAATGGAGAGAAATTCCATGTTCATGACACAGACGACATCAGTGGTCCCAAAGCTGTTACACAGATTCAACTGCATGGCCACCAAAATCCCCGAGGCATGCTCTTGTGTCCTCAAGGGGAACCCCAGACCCCTCCTCTCCTGACTGTGCTGTTAGCCACAAGCTGCTTTCTTCAGAGGCAGGGCTTTGTGTTTTGTGAAGTTGGAAAGTTGCACTTGAAACTGGTTTCCTGCTCATCTTTTGCAAGCAAATGAGGTAAATGTCACTGTCAGAGGCCCCTACCCCGCTCACACAGGCAGGGGCTGTAACCATCCAGGCTGCAGGAGGTAGCTTAAACGACACCATGAAGGAGATGAGAGGATGAACCAGAGTGCTTGTGAGAGCTCTTGAAAGTCATACAAATCTCAGGAGCACTTAGGTCCAAAATGTATTCATGTGTGTTGTACCTCAATAATAAAGAAGCAAGGAGCCCAGTGGTTTTCACCAGAGAAGAGACACAAAGCTGACAAGTACAAGAAGAGATGCTCAGCATCATCAGTTATTAGGGTAGAGACAGAAAACAACCAACATGCCACTAGAAAGGCTTAATAGAAGAAGAGACCATGGCAAGCTGCACCTGTCACAGGCTCCTGGTGGAGATGTAAATGGTGTCATCCTTTTGGAAAGCAGCTTTTAGGTTTCTTAGAAAGTCACCAAATAACCTGGTATTATCATCTGTTTTCTGCTGCTATAAGAGAATAGCACTGACTGGGTAAGTTATAAATAATAAAAGCTTATGTGATATATGGTTTTGGGGGCAGGGTGGCCCAAGACTGAAGGCCCACATAGAGTGAAGCTCTTCTTGATACATTAGAACATGGAGGAAGATGAGATACCCTTGTGGGGAGAGAAAGAGAGAGGACATGAGGCTGGACTCTCCTCTTTCATAACTCACCCACTCCCTCGGTAAATAGCTTTCATTCACTCGTGAGGGCAGTGCCCAAATACCCTAATCACCTCTCAAAGGCCCCACCACTCAGTATTGTTGTGCTGAAAGTTAAGTTCCAAATATATGAGTGTTAGAACACACACACATTCAAACTATAGCACCCAGCAATCCCATGCATAGATAGGTACTGTTGTAGCCAGGGGTTGTGTGGAGAACAATTAGATTCAGGACATGCAGTTTATAATATTGTTTATGACAGTAACCCAGAGTTAACACAAAGAAATGCAGGAAATCTACCCACAACACCAAAGACATAAAATATTCAGCCAAGGACCTGAATCCCACAGCAATGTCCCACATGAGTCCAGATGAAAACTCAGAGCCCATGACAATGCCTCCCATGAGTACAACTGGAGGTCCAGAGCCCACAAGAAGGACTAATGCCAGTCTCTTTTGTGGATCCGTGCTGGGAAGGCCCAAAGGTGAACAGTGGAAGCCAGAAAGTCTATGCCAGCAGGGTGAAAGAGCTGTGCTGGTAGGTTGAGGGTTCTACACTAGAGCTGAGAAGTCGCACTCACATCAAAGACAAGGGCTGTCCTTAAAAGCACCACAGCCATCCATCCTCAGTGACATGGAAGTCCTGAGCTCTGACGACGACAAGCACAGTTGAGTACCTGCCAGGAAGCCAGTGTGACGAGTTTATCCTGGAGACCAAGCGGCACACGTATTCCCCTCCAGAGCCAGGAAGCGATGCTCAATGTGAGGACCAGAGTTTCTCCAGGGGAACCAGTGGTTCAAACAGCAACATGTAGGAGAACCCAAAATGCCTCAACACCTCAACTCAATAGCTTCTCCTTCTCCACGTCTCTATTTATGCTGGCAACTTTCCTCAGGTGGGACATCTACACTCAGTGCCATGCTGATGTAATCCAGCTGGCGTTAAGTTGACCACCAGTTTTTAATACGTAACAGGTACCTACCCAAGGAAAATGAAAATATGTCTATGAAAAGACATTTCAGTGCAAGTTTGTTGCATCACTATAAAATCCTCAAACCAGTAGCAATCTAAATACTCATCTATTGTTCAAGACATAAACAACAGCAACCTGCAGTGCATCTGTATAATGGGGTTTAACTCAACCCTAAAAGTGATTGAGCTAATTCTATAAGTACAACATGGATGAACCACAAGAATGTTATAGCAGGTTGAGGAATCCAGAAAGAAAAGACTTGCATACTTTTCTATATGTGAAACATCCAGAAGAGGTAAATCTATATACGCATAGACAGAGCCAAGGTTCCCTGGGGCTGGGGAAGGGAACAGTGATTGACTGCAAGTGACCACAGCAGGACTGGAGGGATGAGAGTGATTTAAATATTGATTGTGATGATATTTGCACATCTGTACACATTTTTTGAAAAAATCATTTGACCTCTGCTCATGTATTGGGAGAATTGCATAAGTTTTACACATCAATAAAGCTGTGAAATAAAAAATAACCATACCATGCAGAGAGGGAAGGGGGGGTGGGGCAAGTTTTACAATACCCTCCACTCTTGAGGATGGGTGATGGGTCAGGAGGGCTCAGTGTTCTTTCTCTGTCCACCCTTTTTGTGTATTTGAAATGTTCATAATAGAAAATTTAGAATGGGATTTGAGGAAAACAATGTCATGCTTTATTTTCTTCAAGTGAAAGGAAGCTGGGCTCACATCATGAGGTGGAAGAAGAGTTCAGTATTAGTCACTAGGCCCTCCCTAGGGTCCTCCGACAACACAGGAGACCAATGTGGTGTCCCTGGACCTTCAGGCGTCAGGGTCAAGATGATATGGGCATTTCCTGCTGAGAGTGAGCCCTGGAAGAAGTGAGTTGTGCTGATACCGATGAATCTTTCTCCATGGCGGATTTATATTTCCGTGATAGCTGGGTAAGGAATTCACCTTAGGGCCACTTCTTTAGGTGGTGCTAATGCATTCGCAAAGCTGGGACAAAACATTGCTCTGATTTAAATGTATGTGCATGAATGAAATATAGAGAACCATGTACAGGTGCCTTGCAGCTCTTCAAATCCACCTCGAGTATGTAAACCTTAGTGCATTCACTAAGTGCACTTACATGTTGAGCCTTTCCAAGGACTCACAGGAACTATCCAAAGCACTCAAAACAGAGTCCCAAACAAACCAACAAAAGCTCCACTTTTATGCAGCTTAGACTCTGGGGTTTAGCCAAAGGATCAGGCGTAGACATTGTTAAAATGTAGATTCTAATGGCACCAGGGTGCCCCTGCGCTACTGCTAAACAAAACACACGTTTACTTGCAAGTTCCTAGGGCGCCAAGTGGGAAAGGTTGGAAGACACAAAAGTTGACCCTTCACAAGTTTCTTGTACCACAATTTTTGGAACTAGGGTCTTACTTGTGGTGAGTGACAGTTGTTGACGTGCTCTGCCCTGAGACCGACATACTTGTTGCATGACCCCTGTGCAAATTATTGCTCTCTCTTGCCATGGAGGTGACCCTGGCCAGGCAGCCTACAGGACTGACCACACCTTCTAAGGCACTGTCACCCCCAGGCTGTGCGATTAACTCACAGGTCAGCACTTGTGCATCAGCCTCCCTTTAGGGATCTGCTTCTGCTTTGCACTTCAAAGGGCCATCCAGCAGCTATCAAAGGTCCCTAAAACTTTGCAGAGAAGCTTGAGCCCTTTCTCCTCTTTCATTTTAACTCTTTCCTGCACTTCTAAGATATGGTGTTAATGAGGAGAGAATGGGAAAACTAAAAATTTCCCTTGTGGTTTTCATCAGATACACAAAGTAAAGGTATATATACCCTTACCTCCCCAAAGCAATCTGTATTTACTTGAGACT